ATGTAAGGGCTCCTAATCCAGGGATACAGGATGAGCAGCGTTTTTACTCCATGTTAGGAGCAGCTGCACATGGTCTGTTCCTCATGTCAGAGACCGCCATTTCTTTTGGAGCTAAGTCGGCCTGCCACTGAGTAGTGCTCCCAGTCTTAATGACAAAGGCAGACGCATTCTACTTCACCCAGTGTGGAGATAAGAAAGAAGAAGATGATATCATAGGTCAGGATTTGAAGACAAAGGAACATGGGATGTTCGAAAACTCGGTCAAATCAGTAGGAGTACAATGCTATCAATGCAAGTACCAATAAATAGAGAAATATACAACGGAATTGATGAGGTTAATTTATTTTTGTAACGTGTAAAAAAAAGCTTTTAGATATCACTGTTCTTCTTCAGGGGGATATCTGAGGAATGTTAAAAAATGGACCTATACTCATAAACAAAAGGAAGTTTCATATTTTGATGTCGACGATCGTTTTTTTAGGGAGACAGACAGTTTTGTTCACACTTGATTATATCGTATGTCTTCAATAAAGATCACTGTGTATCAAATAGCGTTCAGAGTTATTGTCTGAATCCCGATATATATGTTAAAATGTACAACTTCCTCAAGTTTTGTCGCTTAGTGTATATACTAGAGATGGAATTTGCATAAACATTCAAAGGAATAAGATAGGAATTAACTTTGTTTGTAGCCTTTGGTTGTATGAAAGACTCCTTAAGACTTAATCTTATATGACAAGAAAGGCTAATAAGAGACCCCTTCCAAGAAAGACCCGGTTAAGCCATCGTTTTAGGTTATCTCTCATGGAAGATTCAAATTTATTTAAATTATTCTTATAGGATCCAATTAATATTAACAATTTACAAAAATAAAAAATATATATTTTACCTCATTAAAGCTAATTCTGGTAATATAAACAAGTTTATAATATTTTCTAATTAATATTGTCAATGAATAATTAATTGAATAATAAATTAATACTGAATAAATGCATATATTTATTATCCAAAAATAGCAAAGCTGATCTCACCGTTGGTTACATTTTGTGATAATATAAGCATCTCTCTACTGACAATTAAAGATAAAAATGAAACTTCAAATTGATCCTGGAATGGAGGAGAGTACTTAGCCTTGAAATTGGACGATGGCTTCTAAAGACGATGAAACTGATATTAGATCAACGGTATATGGATGTGGAAGGTAAGCAAGGATGAGATTAAAACCACTTTATTGACTTCAAGTCAACAATGATACAAAGAATACTTATGTTCAAATCTAAAAGCTTGAGGGATGAGTTTCTTTTGCAAATAAATTTATTTCGAGCTTTCGGGCAACGCCCTTCTACAGGAAAATTAAAAATAAAGTAAATTAAATTATATTACACTGAGATTAAGCGAGGCAAATGTATAACAAACTATATAAAATAAATATCAGAAACAAACACACGTGAGACTACTCGTGCGTCAGATACATATGAATAAATCAATAATATGAAATTTTGATATTTGTGTAAATATATATAGCGAATTTTAATGTCTAAAATATGAACTGATATAGAATCGGACTAAGAATATGGCATATTTTTATATAGTTTGTTATATATTTGCCTCGCTTAATCTCAGTGTAATATAATTTAATTTACTTTATTTTTAATTTTCCTGTAGAAGGGCGTTGCCCGAAAGCTCGAAATAAATTTATTTGCAAAAGAAACTCATCCCTCATTCAACATTCTATTTAGGGATTAGCCTATTAATTAAAGAATACTTATAGATATCAACAATAGAATTTATACAAATATATATATTTACATCAACACGAAGCCGTCTCTGAAGGGACGTCAAGTTTAAATCAAGGGCTACAAGACACCCTGAATTTGGGTAGACCTTTGTTTATAATGGAGTTTTCGTCACCAACATATTTAATTGCCATGTTGAGGAATACGCAGAGAATGGTCTTGTTTCCTTTCGAGAGTGTCTCGGAGAGTACCTCCCTCACATGAGGGTATAAGACCGCCTCCACTACTTCAAACCTACAAATCTCCTTATAGAAGGGGGGATAGGAAAGATTCAGCGTTCATTTGTTCAAAAATGTCCTTTACCAGCACTATGAGCTTAGGATGAGGGATGTTCATTTCAGCAAACTATCAGCGATTAGTTATTAGATAGTTATTAGATATAGTTATCCTCGCTATGTCTACTCGCTGTAAACGAAAATTTCCATTTCTAAATCAGCTTCACCTAACATAAACTAACCTATTTCAAAAAATAGCACAAATGTGATATTATACTGGAATAAGGTGAATAAATTAAGAAAAAGGCATCTCCTTATCATGCAACTGAAAGTCACAGCTAATCTAAGCTTAGCTTATCTAGATTAATAAAGAATGGGTATTTGGCCAATACTGGAATAATTCAAAATCAACGGGGGTCGGTGGAAGGCTGGGTAAACCGTTTGGTTTTCGACCACTAGGACCCGGGTTCGATTCCCGCATCGGGCACTTTTTTCTGTTAAAAAAAAAAAAAATGCTCCAATGGCCCCCGATTCTTGCAAAAGTCCAACCCCACCATCGAGTGCAAGTAACCAAACGGGGCTCTGGCATTTGTAAGTGCAAAGTCGAACTGCTTTTCACATGTGTAGACATGTGGTGCGCTTACAGTAAAAGCAGTCGCTAACTACCCACCATGATAACCATGGCCTGTACCACGTGTACTAGGGATAAGCAAAAAAAAAAAATCAACGAGAATAGTTGATATTTATTCCGATAGATGGCGCAAGCCATCAGCAACTTTCAGTTGCAAGATAAGGTGATAATGAAGGAGAAAATTAAACTAACCTAGACTAATTTAACCTATCTGATACTGAAGTTGTCCTCATACATGTATTGCTGGAGAGAAGGATTCTGGCAATCTGATCCTTGAAGTTGGTATTGTGGCTTTGTCAACGACCTGAGTCTTCTAGTTTACGACGACGGTCAATAGATGGCGCTTAAGTTTTAGCGTCTATTTTGACGGGAGAGGCGACCTTTGTCTTTATAGATCAATATTTTTTCGGAAAAATTCCCATCTATATTTTAGCCATAGATTTGGCCTAGCAACTTTCCTAGCTAAACACCTCTTTGGCAGATTGTGAAGATTCCATTGAATTCTTTGTGGATCTCATGGAATAAAGTCCGCCCTAGACTGACGAGGGCCATTAGCCCGAAACCATGGTCTCTAGGTGGACGCTTCTAAGTTCACCATAATAAAAATATAATTTTATTAAATTGATATACATTCAAGCAAACATTCAATAAAGGACAAACAGGGTCATTCTCACAACTAGCAATTTGAAATTTAAACTAGCAAATTTTGAAACAATAACAATTGCAGTGAAAAAATGATTCCTAATATAAAAGTAAGACTTAAACCATCCAAATGCACAAAAAAGATTTAAATGGAAATTTTGGTATAAGATATTAATAAAAATAATATTTTACCTTTTCTGGATCCCAAAATAGGAAAATTGTTTTTATATTAATCTTTGTATTTGACTAATTTCAATTTTCTAAGGTTGAAGATAAGTAACATAATTTATTTCCATTTATAACCAGATATACTGTTTCATAAACTTTATAATAAATCGTTTTCAATTAATTCTATTTTAAAACTGTCTTTCCCAATTTAATTAGCGTCTCTAAATATTCGACGTGTTAAAGATTAAAATTCATCCGGCCACCCCCTTCATTATCTTTCAGACAACAACAAACTTATTAAGGACAATCTCGGATTACACAAATTATTTTTTTTCTATCTCTTCTGCCTATTTATTCCTATAACCTTCTCTTTAGGTGCTGTGTCTTCATACTCATTAGGTATATCTAATCATATAAAATAAAAGGATTTAAAAGCGCGAATGTTTCTTTTATACATAAAACAAACTTCTACTGTCCTTACTGCGATGAAAACATATATTGGGAGGGCTTGCTCATCAGTGGTGAACCCTCCCAGCGGTTTCGCCAATTTAATCCACCAGACCGCTTCTCAGAGCTCTAATACTGTATTGGATCATTCTGCTTTTATATGCTACACTGAAGGATGGAATCTTAGAAATGGTTTTCAAGTAAACTATGGACATAAGCTTATAGGACAGTAGCATTACATTTAAATATTTGCTTCGAGCAATGCTCTTCAGCAAACTATAAAGACAAGGCCAGTTAGGCATAAATTAACACAAATCAATAACGCGCCATCTATACATATAAAATAAAAGGTTTAAAAGCGCGAATGTTTCTTTTACACATAAAACAAACTTCTACTGTCCTTCTTGCGATGAAAAAATATATTGGGAGGGCTTGGCTCATCAGTGGTGAACCCTCCCAGCGGTTTCGCCAATTTAACCCACCAGACCTTACAGTGATGATAAAAGTTATTTAATGAAAGGGTTGGTTTATTCAATAACTTTTATCATTGCAGTAAGGTCTGTAGAGATAAAATTTGATGTAATTGGAGATTAATTTGGAGAAACCGCTGAGAAGGTTCACCATTGATGAGCCAAGCTTTCTCATTCAATAACTTTTATATTTCAGAAAGGTATGTAGAGATAATATTGGATTTAATTATTGAAAAGATAAACATTTGCCAGTAAATTTGAAAATACTAAAAGTTATAATCTTCAATGAGAAATCTCGAAACTGGGTTTCATGTTTATTACCCATAATCTAGCGTAACGTGTTTATAAGCCATGTCAAGGTAAGTTAAGTTTAGGTTAGGTTAAGTTCAGTCCAGGTTAGATTCATTTTAGAGTTATTAACCATAAGAGAACTAATCTCAAGATCTCCCATCTTGAAAAAATCAGCATTTTCTACCATTGTGAAACGACATTTGAAAATCATCCCGCATATGTTTCTTTTGAACGAAAAATCAAAACTTATTTCGAGAAGAAATAACGACCATTTACAAACTTAGGGATGAGGTATGAAAGAATGAATTGTGAAGTGTAATGATAAACGGAAAAATAAAAGTTTCAAGGGATGGGAATCGAACCCACAGTGTTCCGCTTACCGGGCAGATGCCATGTCCACTAGGCTACCCTGGACATATTTTCTATCATAACTGCGTAAGCTAATCCCCCGAGGTACTGTAAATCAAGAAAACAAAGATGAAGAATTTCTTTTTTTGGGGGGTTCGTTATCACAAGCGTTTTTAAATTCTTTATTCTACTACAAATGGAAAAAAGGTTAACGTTGTTATAAAGCCTAACTATATCATTGAGGCAAAGAGCACACATTTGCATAAACTGAGAAACAAGTATGAGAAAATAATATACACTGCGTGACATTGAAAATGGAACACCAAGAAATAGTGGCCAGAAAATTATGCAAATTTCAGGGTAGACGCGCCTAACCGAGTTATGCAAATGATGTAAAATGCGCAGCTCTCGTGCGCACATGGAGTAAGATATAAGGGAAGGAACTTGCAGAAAGGACAGTATTCCTGTCGTTATTTCTTCAAGGAAAATCATTGTAGAAATTTTGTTCTTGTGTCAAAAGACACGTGTAATAACAGAGAATGCCAGGTCATCGTAAACGGAGGCAGTTCAAGCAGACAGACGCTTTTACGAGGGGCATGATGATCGGACTGAAAAGGGCAGGTTGGTCCATACGTCAAATCGCAGCTGATACACACCTTGGTGCGTCCACGGTGCACCGACTGTGGAGAAGATGGTTGGAACAAGGAAATGTGGCAATTTATAGGAATGTCGGTGCAACCAGTGTGACGTCAGCACGTGTGGATCGGCGTATCCTTCGACAAGCAGTGGCGGCCCCACAAGCCACTTGTACCGCCATCCTGCAACATGTGCAAGACACCCTAGATCATTCCATCTCGACCAGAACCATTTCCCGTCGATTGGGTGCTAATGGCTTGCACTCATGCCGTCCGCTAAGAAGACTGCCATTGACCCCACCGAATAGGCGCCAACGTTTGGAATGGTGCCGGGCTAGATCGACGTGGATGACGGAATGGCACAGGGTCGTGTTCTCAGATGAGTCGCGTTTCTGCTTGTCCAGTGATAGTCGCCGTGTACGCGTGTGGCGTCGACGTGGAGAAAGGTCCAATCCGGCAGCAATTGTGGAACGCCCCACCGTGCGACAACGTGGAATCATGGTTTGGGGCGCAATCGCGTATGATTCCAGGTCACCTTTACTTCGTATTCAGGGCACAATGACGGCCCAACGATACGTTGATGATGTGCTGCGACCGGTGACACTCCCCTACCTTCAGGGGGTACCCAATGCCCTTTATCAGCAGGATAACGCCCGACCGCACACTGCTCGCATTAGCCAACAAGCTCTGCAAGATGTACAGATGCTTCCCTGGCCACCGTACTCTCCTGAACTCCTCACCAATCGAGCACGTCTGGGACATCATTGGACGCCGTTTGCATGCCTTGCCACAGCCGCGTTCAGAAGACGAACTGTGGCAAATGGTTGAGAGGGAATGGAGAGTCATCCCTCAGGACGCCATCCGTACTCTGATTGACTCTCTACCTAGACGTGTTGCTGCGTGCATCGCCGTCCGCGGTGGTCCTACTTGCTACTAAGCCGACGCCGTTCTCGCTCTGTATTATTACTATCATTTTGAAATAAAGATCACTTATTGTTCGTCCCTGTCTCTCTCTGTCTGCCGAGTTTCATCACTTTCTGGCCACTATTTCTTGGTGTTCCATTTTCAATGTCACGCAGTGTATTTTACAGGGTTTGTCCCATGAGTAATGAGTCTTTTAAAAGTATATATGTATATATATGAAAAAACAATAGAAAAAATAAAAGATAAGTGGGTCAGGTGTTGATATTAAAAATAAAGAAGGCATCTCCTGACCACAAGCACATGTGCTTTTTATCACGGAGCAAGCTAAATAAACGTTTAGTTTATTTTTGCTCCACTAGATGGCGCTCTGCCATCTAAAAAGCACATGTGTTTGTGGTCAGGAGATGCCTCCTTTATTTTTAATATATATATATATATTCATTGATAAAAAAGGTAATAAATCTTAATTCTCTTTAAAATCGTCTCTTTTTGAAAGTACAGGGTGATCCAAAAGTCCCGCACAACTTTAAAAATTAATTACTCCGCGAATATTTGCGCTAGAGCAATGCGGTAAACACCATTGTGTTCAGGATGCAATGGGATTTTTTATGGCAAATAATGAAAAATTCGAAATTGATTTCAGTTACAACTTTATTCGCTAGATGGCGCTCTACCAGAATCAGCGATTCAGCGGCCAAATTGTTTGATAAATTGCAAAATATAACTGAACGACAAGTATTTTTCCTTTTTGAATACCAGGAAAGAACCCTAATAATATCAAATGATAAATTAATGAAACACCATTTCGCCAAAAGTTAGAAGAAATGGTTAACGATTTTTAAATACAATCTGAGATATGTAAAATAGGTATATGCAAATTAAAACATGTAGCAAAAAAAACTGATATTTTAGATTCGGTTTGCTGGAATTCTCTCAGCTTTTTAAATTTCGAAAATAATAATTTTCTAATTTTTTAAATTCTACTCTCTCTCAGTATCAATTATATTTATTTTAATTCATTTGAAAAATATTTATCTATCTCTGATGATTTATTTTACTCTGGAATGCCGTTGTTGTTTTTGTCGTGTCCAATAAAGAGCCTCAGATGTCTCCATGCATCTCTCTCTATCACAGCAGCAGCATTGTCCACTATCTTGGGTGTGTAAAGCAGCTGCTCTGGGTCTATGTCAATTTTCTGCAAGGCTGCGGCCATTGCTGGGCATGAGAATATGTGAGTAGGTGTTAGTTCCACACCAGGACAGCGATTGCATGTCCTATAGGTTCTTGTGCCATCTGGATGTATTGTCATTTCTTTATAGTGGTTTGTTCTAAGCCGTGTTATAGTTTTTGTCATTTTTCTCTCAGTGTTTATTTCGCATTTTGATTATTTTTCTTATTTTTGTTCAATTGTCTTGTATTTTTCCAAAGCATCAGCGTCAAATAATGGCATTTGTTCAGGAATCCATTGTAGAATGCAGTTATTCTCCAATGATATCAGTTGAGTAAGTAACGAGTGTATTTTCTGTGTGATTATTGTATTGCCCTTCTGAATTGCTTCTGGATCGGATATGAAGTCGTTGTACGTTATATTATAATTCCTTCTGCTTGATGCAGGGATGGTTGGTTAAGGCATACATCAAGAGCTTTCCAGATAGCTGTCAGTTCACAAGTGAAATCTTTCTTGCTCCTTCTTTGATTTTGATGTATGTTCCATCTTGCAGTATTATGTTAATTCCAGCCCCTCCATTACTTATGGTAAGGTCTGATGATCCATCTGTATAAGCTGTTAAATAATTTATCTGATCGCATAAACCAATTGTGTCAAGTCCTTTCTTTTTTTTTAAGTATGTTTTTGTTCTTTTTTTTATTGAAGGGTTCATTCAGGTTAAGATTGATGATTACATTTGATGGCAATGGGGTAGGAAATATTGGTTATTCTCGAATTTGAAATTCATTATGTTTCATATTTATGCTCTTTCTAATATTATTGTCGTACTGAAGTGTTGAAGATCTTTTGAGCCTTTCTTTTTGTGTCCAGTTTAAATAGGTTCTATGGGATATGTGTTCGGTTTCTTTAGTTTTTAAGCTATTGGTGAATATTATTGTTTTTAATTGTATTCTGATTTCAAGTAGGTCTAGACCACATTCTCTCTGAATTTTCTAATTGTTGGTATTTGAAACAGAACCAGTGATTAATTTGGCCGCTTTTGCTTGAAAACTGTCTAGTCTTCTTTTTAGTGATGAACTTGAGGGAGCCCAAACAGGTGGCCTTATTAAGGTGATATATGTTGTTCTGAGAATTTTGGGTTTTGCTCCCAAATTTGTTCAACATAGCCTTCTCAGAATGTTTAGGTTTCTGGTAGCTCTATTTTAGGTGCTAAATATTTGTTCTTTAAATCGCAATTCCTCATCAAGTATCACATCTAGGTAATTTAAAGATCTAATTTAATCAATTATATGGTTGTTTATGCTTATTTTGGAGTTAAATTCATGCCTTTTTCCCTGTCAGTGAAGGAGACCTATAGGTTTGTGTTTATTGGGTTTATTGTCATTTTGAGTTTCATTGCCCACTTCTCCAGTCCTATCATTGATGTGTTCAGTATTTTTCTGATATTTCTATACTGCTACTTATATATGGCTATATAATCTGCACAACAGGCAACCTTTGTGTCTTCAGTGAGGATGGATGTTGTTAAGATTGTGTCGTAATTAGACTACAACAACTCAAACTTAACCATGACTCTTATTTTTTTCGTTTGGCCAACAAAATTTTCCAATTTATATACACATATATTCTTACATAATGAGACTTTAAAGAATGCAAATAATCTCCATCTATTTACATACACAACTCATCTCCCCCCTTAATAATACTCCAGTCGGTCTGGGGGTTTCCTGGCTCTCTGAGGTCTAGGACTGCGGACGGGAACTTGCACAGCGGCAGGCTCCGGTTTAGGAGTGCAAGAGAGAACGTGCACAGCAACAGGCCCTGGTCTAGGAGTGCAAGAGGGTACGTGCACATAAGCAGTCTCCTCCTTGTTTCCTGATGTAACCTCTGGAACCTCCTCTTCACTTTATTTCTGACTTCCACCTACAGGCTTCTCTCCTGATGTTCGAGGAAGTATCAAATTTCTTGTCTCCACTTGTTTCTTTCTCACAGGTCGCAATTGATTGATATGCCTCTTATACACGACGCCCTCGCAACTTATAAGGTAGTGACGGTAGCTAAATAATTTCAAAATGGTACCTTTTTACCGTTTAGGTCCAGTTGCATAGTTGCGGAAATAAACCTCGCAACCTGTAGTAAACTGCTCCTGCCTTCTTACGGCCTCATGAAATACCTCTCGCGGATTTCCCATCTTGGTATCAAATTCGAGAATCTTGATCTTAAACTTCTCTTCATTAGCAGTTCCGCGGAGGAATTCTTTTATTACAGTTTGAGGGAATGCTATATGAGCAAATAGGAATATTTGTAGATTCGTCTCTAAATCATCCCTCCCATTATTC